GCTGCTCCCCGAGCTGCGTCCCGCACCCCGCACTGCACCGCACCCCCACGGCCATGTCCTGCCTTGCACTGCACAGGGTGCCTGTAGCTGGGTGTCTCCCTGCCACACCTTGTAACCTGCTGCCCCCCATCACACCCTACAGCCCACTGCCCCCTGCCAAAGACCCCTGTCGCCACAGCCTGCCCTGCCTGTGGCTGCACCTTGCATGGTGCAGTGCCCCTATAGCTCAGCACCTCCCTGCCATACCTTATAGCCATGTGCCCCGCTGCAGGGGACCCTATAGCCATGTCCTGACTGTATAACGCCCTTATAACTGCATCTCGCACTGTGCAGTACCCCAGAAGTGCGTGCTTGCCACATCTTAAAGCCCCCTGCCCTTTTGAGGAGGGGGGTCTATAGCTACATCCCGCATTGCCTGGTGCCCCATTGTCAAGTCCTGCACTGCACGACGCCCCTGCAACTGCACCTTGCACCCTGCGATGCCCTTATAGCTGTGTCCTGCACTGCGCAGTGCCCCTATATCTGAGTGCCCCTGCTGTACCCTACAGCCCATCGTCCCCTTGCTGAGGGACCCTATAGCCACGTCCTGCCCTACCCAGCGCCCCATAGCAAGCCCAGCATGGCACAGCACCCCATAGCAGAGCCGTGCCCCACACAGTCCCTGCAGCCACATCCATGCCCTACCTGCCCCCAGGCTGGGCTCCTCCCAGGCAAGGAGCACTGAGCAGCGCCAGGGAGGGCAAGTCAGCTGTGGCCACCAGGCTGGCTCCACTGTACCTCCCGCAGGGGCCAGGCAAAGGCAACGGAGTTTAAAACAGCCTCAACCCAATCCCAAACTGTCAGGTCTAGCTGAAACATTTAGGTCTGGCTGCTGCAGGCACCAGCTGGGAGCCGGGCACTGACTCAGGGCCCCCTCGCCGGCAGGAGACTGCCGGGCTGGGGGTGCACGCGTGGGCTAACGCGGGGTCTGGAGACACGTCGGCACCACCACCGCAGGACCCTGCCTGTGCCTCAGGGCCTGCCTCCCCGCTCGTGCCCTGGGTCTGGCCAGCTTGTGGCACT